GTTTTGAGGGTAGGAGTTAAAACAGTTTATGTCCGGGATGTGAGGGGTCTATAAATATTTTCACAGCCCTCTTTTTTACTCATGCAGTACACAGGTCCTCAATGGAAAGAAGGTTGGTAGCAATTGTTTTTTCTGTAGTCCTAATTACTCTCTGGAGTCTGTGTCTGTCCTGTTGGGTTGCAGAACCAAACCAGACAGTTAAAGAGGTGCAGATTACATTTTTAGACTCTACTTTAACAAATCTTCAGAGCACCGGAGTAGAATGAATGTACAGGATGGATTCCTCTGCAATTGATTTTTTTTTTTCATGTTTAATTAAATCCTGTTCATTAAGTGGCTTTGGAAGTAAACGGTGATTTGGGGGCATATTTTTTGAGGTGATTATTTGGGGTGAATTGATTTGGGCAGAAATCATTCAATGATATCCTTCCAGTACATGAATAGGGTTTGCGGTCTTAGGCTGCCACCTCAAGCATCTCAGTGGAATGTGCAGGAGGAATAAGTTTGCTGAGAATAGTTGTTTGTAATGTCTTTTAAAAGGATAAACTTTCTACATATCACCGGGGTTTCTTTTTAATCACAGATATAACTTTGTGAGACATAAACTTTATAGCATATCATGTAAATTCCTTTCTAAGAACTGTGGAACATTGCGTCTTAAATTTTCACACAGCAAAAAAAGTACCACAGGACCAAAACATGATTTGCAAAGCACTCTTTTAATGACAGAAACCAACCCATTTTAGATTTCGCTTTGCTAGATTTGGAAAATTCAGTGCAGTCTCTTTATACAAACAAAGCTAAGCTGGATTCCTTAAGACTTCATGTTTTAGATATGGGTGTATAAAATAGCCCTATCCCCAAATTTTTCTTATGGAAAGTTATTCAAAGTGATCCCCTAGGACTACAACTTGCAGACCTTATGAATTTAGGGGCAGGTTAAACTGTGCGATCCAGAATAAACATTTTTAAGAACAAGTTTAGGATAGGACAGGACTAGGATCCTAAGAGTTTATTTAAACTAAATATGTACTATATGGGATGATAGCTTTAAACAACCCTATTACACAGATCTGGGATTAAGTCCAAGTGAACAGGTAGAATTCCCTTTTGAATTTCTACTTCAAAAGTTGCATTATGACTTGGAATACTGCTTGCACTTTTAGCCATTTGAGCTTACTGGATATTGTAATGGTTGAACTGTTTTTCCTGGGAAAATGATAACATTAATCGGTTCAGTAAGTCATTCCCATGTCAACTGGCCAATTAAATTTGCTACAGGTATTGTTTGAATAGAAGGTAACAGGAAATGCCAAACCCAATAAAATACTGATAACAGAAGCAATGCATTCATATTACTGATTTCTCATTTTTCAAAGTAAGAGCTTTCATCTACTAGTGTCAGCTTAGTGTTAGAAAATGTGGCTTTAATTAACTTGGGGATGGGATGATGACATTCTCCCATGGTTTTTTTTTTTTAATAATGGAGTTCTCGTTGAACTTGTTATGATATCTACAATATTTAGCATGGCTATTTTTTCTTCAGTTGTTTTTAAATGGCCAGTGGGATTGATTAGTTAGGTCAGGCTCCAAATGCTCTAGAATCAGCCTTTCAGGATGTCATGAAATAGAGTCAAGAATAAGAAAGCCTGCCATAACTTCATATTAAGTTTCTTTCCAAATGGCTACTTCTTTCATTTGAAAGTCCTCTAAAGGTTCTTTTTAAAACTTATTTCTCACAGCGCCAAAAGTTTGTGATGCCTGCAAAACCAAGAATGAAGATGACAATGAAATCGTAGAAAATCTTTGCAAAAATGACTTTGGTAAGTATGAGGGAGATACTCTGATTGAAAACTAGGGATTTTAGTCTCTGGTTGTAATAATAATCAGTGTTGTAAGAAATGCAGTCGTGGGTCAGTTTTAAATTGCAAATGCATTCAAGCTTTTATTTCAACAGTGGATCCTAATTCACATAATCACAGGATTATGATTAGGTTTCTATTTAGTCTATCAGACTAGGTAGGAGATTGTTTAGAACTGCTCTTTGTAATGAACATGTTGTGTGCTCTCACCTTTCTAAGGTTGTTCTTTTTTCTGTACAATGTTGTCCACTGTGGCCTCACCTCCTTTCTATGTAGAAAGAAATGGGATTCTAAAACTTTCTTAGCTGGAAGTCCAAATTGTTCTAACAATGCTTGAATTTTTTTTTGGGGGGGGGGGAAACCTTTATTTTTGTTCTCCTTCATACGTATTGGTTGTACCTTGTCCCATAGCTGACAACAGTTTAGTTCTCAATAGTTTTACCAGTGATTCTAATTCCAGTACCTCTGTCTATGAAAACCAACTGTTTTTCACATTTGGTCGCCTGAGGGAGTAATAGAATCCAGGAATTAGCTAGTTGTATACAGACATATATATCTTTTTTATTACCCTCTGAAACTGCCATGTCAAGTATTTCAGAGTTACAGAAATATAAATAATTTGAATGTGACATCCTTGAATTTTCTGATTCTTTGCTGATGTGAAATGGAGCCCAGTGGCACCGTAATGTTGGAAGCCTTGGTTTTATTCCGTTTCCCTTCTGCCCACCTGCAGACGGAGGGGATTAAGCAGGGAGGCCTTGGTTTATGGTCCTACTATGAATTTGAAAACAGGTTTTAACCTGTCCAGTCCCCATTTCTTAATGCAGCGAGGGATGGCTTCATGGGAAGAGTAAAATAGAAAATTGTTCCTGAATTTTCCAGCGCGCAAGACAACCACAAAGATATGGGAGCAAAGCTGAGAAATACTTTGATAGGCTTCACTTCAGAATTTAAGTTGGTATAACTTAAATCTACAACGTTGCTACTTTAATCCCCAACAAATCCCCAACAGCTTTGGCAAAGCTTTCGCATTCCATCTTGGTAGAGAAATGGCCTCTTTTCTTAAAAAAAGATTAATCTGTCTCTTGAGAAATTCTGACATGCCAGGAGTATTGGCTGTGAAGAAAGCAGAGAATAACTTTACGGAGGTAAGAAAAATAATGTATGTATGTATCATTTCTGGGTCACAGTAGTTGGAAATCCCTTCTGAATAAGACAGGTATAACTTGCATAAATTATAAATACACGTTGTAATTTTATCATATTCTAACTGCAGAAGTTATTTTGTTACAGTTTGATCACAAATTTATACATATTAATGCCCTCATTATTAAAGAATAGCATAGAGAGTGAGTTTAAGTCAAGTTAAGTTTTCATCCGATATATCCACAAGCAGATACTTGGTTTTACAGTTATCGCGCCAAATCTAAATGCGGCGGTAAAACCCAATTATTTTCTTCATCTTTTCAAATGCAACAGATAAAATATACTGGTTAACCAAAGAGTTTCATAAATTAAGCCAGACTTATTTTCAGGAGAAATGGGGTTCGCTTTTTCTGTGAAAAGATGGCTATTTCCCATCCCCCACCCCCCTTTCAGCTTTGCGAGAAGGCACAAAAGCTTTAAGGTAGAAAAGCACGGGATCGTTGGTATTTGCAAGCAACAAAAAAAAAAAAAATCTAGAGGAAGAGGGTCATTTAGCAAAGATTTTTTTTCCCCCTTTGAAAGCGAAAGAAATACACCCAAAGATTGATTCGGACTGAAATTACTTTTGATGGCTTTAGAAATGGAGCCACCTGCTGTCCATTCTGTCAGAACCTGACAGTTTAATTAGCAACAGAAGACCTCACTTCCTCGATTCTCTTTTATGTGCCAGAATGAGACAAAAAATATTTTCTCCCCCGCTCTCTTTCTCCCTTTCTTTTATCCCACTCCCCCACCCCTGCTCTGTTCCCCATTATCCCTCTTAGCTCTGAAGATAAAAGTGAAGGAGATCGCCTACATCAACGGAGACACCAAGATCACGCCAGAAACAAAGGGCAAAACCATCTACAAGCTGAACGGGGTGACGGAAAGGGACCTGAAGAAGACCGTGCTTTGGCTCAGAGGTGGCCTTCAGTGTACCTGCGACGAGATGAACGATATCAACGCACCGTATTTGGTCATGGGACAGAGGTTGGCTGGAGAGTTGGTGATCACCTCTGTCAAACGATGGCAAAAAGGCCAGCGAGCCTTCAAGAGGTTTTCTCGCAGCATCCGCAAGATGCAGTGCTAATTGCTTGGAGTTTCTGTTCATGTTTAGTTGCCATGCCTTAAGTTCTTTCGCATCTTCCTACCGCAGCCATAAATGCCCGGTATCGTGGAAGAGACACTTCTTTTAAGAAGAAAAGAGACTCCCCCCCACTTCTAATTGTGTACATATAATAAACTATAATTACCCAAATCACGATTTTTCTTCTGTAAAATTGTTTCCAAAATGTATTGTTTAGAGTTGTGCAAAATGTAATTCTTTTAATTTTTCTTTTAATTATTCATATTCATACGACATTCTGTCTGGCTAACCTTTCTGCCTAGGTTAGGGGTCCATCTGAGCTTTGCAGTCGGCTTTTTCGGTTTGGTTTCGTTCCAAGTAAAATCATATGTGGGAGCCCCACAGTGCAGGAGATAACAGTATCCCAAGTTTTATGAAGCGGGAGTTATTTTGCAACTTGGCATTGAAAAGACAAACTTCATTTTAAAGGCTTTGCTCTTACAGAAATTATGACTCAAAGACGGGCAAAATAAAACCGAAGAATATCTTGAGAGTTTCTTTCCCCAAATCCTCTGCAGAATTATGCATGCTTAAGGCCTCTAATGTCTATGAGTGGACGTGCATTAAGCTGCAATGTCATGCATGCTTCTGTGGGAAAGTGCACTGCACTTTATGGGATTGGCATCTGTCAATATACATTGCATTGGAAGCTTGCTATAGACTATAGCCATTACAATATCTCTATTTACCTTTGAATATTGAGCCTAATTTTATCTTATCGGGAATGTGTCATCTAGCTTTATTCATTACAGAGAAATTATCCATGCACATGTGCTACTTGAGCAAGAACAAACTTCAATAAGTGTGTATTCATCATTTACGCACAGTATTTTATACAAAGCTTAATACTATTTTAAATTGAAGTACTTTGATGTTTCACAAATTAAAGGTTTCTGTAGCCTAGCTGTAAAGTAAGTAGTGGTTATTTGGAAAAAAAAAGTTGTAAAATATTACTTTAACAACCCTTGTAAATAATCCAGATAAACCTTATATTCTTGTATATAAACTTTACATCATAGTTTACACTTTGTTGTGTTTTTGTCTTTAGGTTTTGTGAGAGCATCTCTGAAATCCATAAGATCCATTTTTATTGTATCTTTTTAAAAGTCTTTGTAATGAAAGACATAGGAGAAATTCACTTCCTCTTGGGTTAATTAGTTACACTGTTGCACTATTTTTAGTGCAACTCCAAAGTAGAACTTAACCAGGCCTTTTTAACAGTCATTCACGAAGTATATAGTTTATTGCTAGTTAGGCACCAATGAATTTTTGATGTATATTAAACTATTATGCTATAATTTAAACAATGATTGATGATTAATGTGCTTCAATAAAATACTGCATCATCTAATAATCATGAAGAGACTGGAGAGCCACTTGTGAAAAATGGTACAAGGTCCGTTCCAATTCTATTATTCTGTATTCTGTAATAGCATATTTCACCCAAATATGAATGTTAGTTCCTATAATACTGGATCCCGCATAAAAGAATAAAATTACTTTGGCATATGATTATTAAAGAAAGTAAGGTTTTCTGAGTGAGGAAGTCCAGAATGCTGGATAATGGATTATTGGCCTATCAAACTTGGAAAGACAATTCTGACTATGCGGTTTTCCACATCTATTCTTTGGTTTGTCTGGCATACAGAAGTAAACTATGTGCTCCAGATTTTTCAAAGTTCGGTGCAAAGTGTCCTTTTTATTTTTAAAATATGTTTATGATTTTGGAATACATTTTTGGTGGCTGGTCCATGAAATTGTCTTGTAAGCAATACGGAAGCAGTTTACTGCTGCTTCCTTCCATAATTTTTTCCTTCTAATTTGCCAGGTTTTATATGCTGGCATGGAAAAATGGCAGCCATTTAAGGGCAGATACACACTTTCTTAGTAACTGTTTATTGAGACCATGTCATGTGCCAGAGAATCAGTATTCTGGTTGTCCAACAGTTTGAAGAAGAAAACATAACATTTAGACTTCAAAGAGCACTGATGGGGAAAACTTAGTTTAAAATGCTTTGGGCAGATTTTTTTTTTTTTTTTACATTTTGCGTATTATTTTCCTTTCAGCTTCTTTCCTGTGATGAACAACTGCATATTTTTCTTTGTAGTGGTAGTACTTCGGCTACTTTGCAGAGGATTTTTTCCCCCCATTTTATTCTAGGAAGAAAGAATCAATTATCTTTCACACAGGGTCAGAGACCAGTGATCTGTTAATCATTTAAGAAGGTACCCGAGTAGAGAAAGGTTTAGCACTGCATGGACCCCCAAATCCATGACTCTCCTTGTTCCTGATCTCAAAGTGCACGCATTAGGCATGGTGACCCTTTCACCCAAAAAGTACAATCCACACAGATTTTTATTTAGGATGCCAACAACTTAGAAAGACTTTTTTGCACAGAGGTGTAAATATATATATAAATATATATATATATATATATATATATGGCATTCGGCTTTGCTCGGGTATTTTCCCACATCATAGTAGTTGTGCTTTTAAAGTTGTAGCGATGTTTCAGCAGAATCTCATCTGCCATCATCATATATATATATGTGTATGTGTGTGTTTTCTTAAGTTTTCGCGGGTACTTACATGTATGGCATTCAGCTTTGTTCGGGTATTTTCCCACGTCATTGTAGTTGTGCTTTTAAAGTTGTAGCGACGTTTCGGCAGAATCATCATCAGGCTTCTGTATAGTGTTCATATATATATATATATATATATATAATATATAATATATACACATACACACACAAACACAAACACACAAAATTCCTTGGCTCAAATGTCTATATGCAGGTGCATGAATAAAAAAGATGCCAGTGCCGGAAGCAAAGCCAACCCTTCTCCTTTCTACAAGCAGTGAAAGATCGATGCTCAAATCACATTCCTTGATGGATTCCAGGGCTGGAGTGCAGGAAATCACTCCTCTCCATAAGAACATTGGCATGAAATATCCCTTGAAAATGGTCCCAATACAAATATTTAAACATTTAGCCCTCTCCAGGGCCATGAAAGCAACTGATGGAAGAACAACTGAAGTAAAAAAAAACCCTGTTCCTGGATTGTTGTGTTTCAGTTTCTGGTCACATTGCAAGCCACAGGGATGCCTTTTTTAACATCATTATTTTTTAAGTCAAAGAGTACAAATGCAACGAATCCAGAAATATCTTCTACCTGTAGAGCAGCTATGCTGCTTAGGAGTGTAGCATCTCTTAGACCAGGGGTGTCAAACTGGAGGTCCATGTGCCGGATACGTCAAATGCAGGCCACGCCCGCCGCAGCTCCGTGAATGGGGAAAAACACTGAAACGTCACGTGACGCATTGAGTTTGACACCCAGGTCTTAGACCAAGGGTGCTGTGGTTAGCCAACAGCAGGTGCTGATGGAGGAGAGCGAGGATTTGGATGAGGGGCCAGGACCATCAGGGAGTGGACTGCTGCCTTCAGGGATTGTGGGAGCTGGCAGCAGTGATGAGGTTCCTGAGGAGCCTGTGCCAAGTGCGCGTGAGCGTAGGATGAGTCATAGAAGAGAACAGCAGGAGCAGCACAAGCGACTCGGGAATAAGGATGCAACTTAATGGCTGCTGTAAGCCTGGTTTCAAAAGGTTTTTGCCTTTGCAGAAGGGAAAAGCGCTCTAAGGACCCAGAATTGTGTGTAGAGACTCAGGCTTATCTGAAGAATTCTGTCAAAGCTTTTCTGGTTGTGCTTATTGGCTGCAAGCCATCTTTTATCTACCAAGAAGTTATTTGTAGATTAAAGATGTGAAGGTTTGAATTGCTGAGTTTATTTGAGGTTTTCTTGCTGGTAACAGGGTTGGGTCAGAACAAAGGGTCTTCAAACTTGGCACGTTTTAAGACTTGTGGACTTCAACTCCCAGAATTCCTGAGCTAACATGACTGGAGGAGGAATTCTGGGAGTTGAAGTCCACAAGTCTTCAAGCTGAAGACCCCTGTTTTAGACATTAAAAGGGCTGAACACTCCTCTTTATTGTAGCAGGCAAAGGTATTTCTTGACCTTAATGTGAAGATAGGTGGATTTCGACTCCCAGAATTGCCCCACCAGCTGTACAGGTAGTCCTCAATTGTATGACCACAATTGAGCCCAAAATGTATACTGTTAAGCGAGATGTTTGTTGAGTGAGTTTTGCCTCAATTTATGACCTCCCTTGCCACATTTGCTAAGAGAATCACTGCAGCCGTTAATTTAATAACACGGTTGTTAAGTGAATCGGGCTCCCCCATTGTCAGAAGGTCACAAAAGGGAATCACTTGACCCCAGGACCCTGCAACCGTCATAAAGGTGAATCATTTGCCAAGCATCTGGATTCTGATCGCATGATCATGGGGAAGCTCCAAAGGTCGTAACTGTGAAAAACGGCCATAAGTCACTTTTTTTCCAATGCCGTTGTAACTTTAAATGGTCACTAAATGAACTGTTGTAAGTCAAGGACTATCTGTATTTAGAACAGTGTTTTTTCAATCCTAACATCTGGAAGAGGCTGCTGACTCGGAGAAACTGGGAGTTAACAGCACACGTCTTGGTTGCCAAGGTTAAGAAACACAATTTTAGAGACTAACAAATGTGTTGATTTTCAAAGGTCTGGAGGCTGATGAAATTGTATCCTATAATAATTATAGCCCATCAGGTGGCTAGTGTGATCCGCTGTCGTCGGGGCGGGGTGGGTGGGAGTTGGTTTTGATATTTTTTTGTTTTTCCAAGTTTTATTCTATTGTCCTTTACTAATTTATTTGATTCTTTTTGTTAGTTTTCATTGTTTTTAATTTTAATTTTTTTGTTTTAAATATGGTTTTAAAACATTGTGTAAGCCACCTCGAGTCGCCATGGGCGAATAGGCGGCAATATACATTATATTCATTCATTCATTGATTCATTGAATTCGTTTTTAATGCCATTTGTATTTCACAAATTATCCAGCAGAGGGTAGTCAAAGTGCTAATGTTCTGCTTTTGGCTATTGTTGTGAAGTTGCTCAGCCAATTTCACTACAATAGAATTAAAAACTATTATTGTTTCAAATTCTGGGGAAAATTGTTACCTTATTACAAACTAACTCGATACCCGGGCTTCACTATGAAACTATGTGGTTGGGCTTAGTTTTGGGGGAGGAAAATAAGGAGGGAAAAATTCTGCCTCTGCCTAACAGATATCCATCGGTATTCATCCTGTCAGGGTGTGAGAGAGTTGAGGGCTGTTTGGAAAGTGAACCAGTATTTGCTGTGTGAGCTTGGGCATGGCTTAGCTCAACTGTTCTGTACTAAAGTTGCTGTGAAGGTAAAACTGAAACTGAAACTCCTCTGCGTTTTGCATTTGGAACAGATTTCTTTTCAGGTGTGGACAGGGAGTAGAACTCCTTAGCATCAGAGCATGTTAATAATAATAATATAGGAAATACTAATGCTCTGATGGTCGTTTGGAAAAATCCTTTCTTAGTGAGCCCCTAGAAGCCAAGAGGAACATAGGTGCCAAATTTCATGTTTGTAGGCTTTACCGTTCTGGAGATGTTGTGATGATGCGTGAGTGGTATTTTGCTTTGATATACAGAATATATACTTCTAAACTATCAGACCTGGAATCCAGAAAACCTTATCTTCCTTTTAAAGTTACTGAGTAAGGGATTTACTTCCACAGATGTGTCAGTGAGGGATCCTTGGTTGTCCCAAAGGAGCTTTTTCAAGAGGCAACTTGCAGGTGTAAATTTTATACTTCGTGTCTTCACATAAATCTGGACTGATTGGCATTAGTTATATAAATGTGCATCATCACCCTGCTATTTTCTTTCAGGAAGGTTAAAAGCAACGAATGAATAAAAGTGGACTATAAGCAATAATCTATATATTAGGCTTTCAATAAAAATTGCAGGCGGCTTTAATAGGTTATAATACTAATTCAAGCTAATACTTTTGTTTTGAACAAATGACCTTTAAATATAAACAAAGAATTTGTCCAATTTTTTTCTGCTATTTAAAGTAGGTCCAATTAGGACTCAAACTTTAAGCTTTCTGTCTATTTTACATGCCACACAGAAGTTATTAAACTGTTGCTATAGAGCTTATTAAAACCAATAATCCTTGGACCCCTTAAGTACTGCCAAGATGGAGGAAATGTATGGGAATACATGTATGGGAAGCCAGACACACCCCACTACAGGCAAGAATTACTTGTAGTACACAGTATATTTACAAGACTTTATGATATGTGTGCAATGTGCACGTATAGTTATCAAGCATAAACATAACTTAATATGTGGAACTGAATTTAAAGGACTTACATGTCTATTACTTTGCCTATAGCAGCATTTCTCAACTGGTCAACATTTAAGATGTACAGTTTTTAATATCCAGAATTCCCAGCCAATAGTCTAAAAATGCATTTCTGTTAAAAAAAATTTTTTCTTCTCCTCTACTTCCTTATCTGCACACTTAGGTAGGTTAATAGCCTCTCCTCTTTCATACTCTTGCCCAGATGACATGGAGTTTTCCCCATACCTGTCTAGAGCAGTGGTAGGATTCAATTTTTTTTACTACCAGTTCTGTGGGTGTGGCTTGGTGGGTGTGGCAGGGGAAGGATCAGGGGTGGGATTCAAACTTATTAACAACTAGTTCTGTGGGCATGACTTAGGTGGTGGGCGTGGCTTGGTGGTCATGTTATTGGCTGGGTGCGGCCAACTCAATGTCACTCACATCGAGGCACGCATCTCCTCACCTGGCCTCTCGTGACTGTGGAGATGCTGCAACAGCCGTAAGTGTGAAAAACGCTCCTAAGTCACTTTTTTCAGTGCCATTGTAACTTTGAATGGTCACTCCACACAAGCAAAGTACCAGCAAGGAGGGGGAGAAAACTCCAGAGACGTTCCTGAGACAGGAAGTCTAGTCCTGCCAAGAATGTCATAAGGGTTAATGGAGAGGCAGTTTCTGTAAGCAACACCAGAATGTTTCCTTCCTGCCTTCCTTACAGGATTAGGCCAGTAATTTCTTCTAACAACCGCTTCTCCGAACTGCTTAGAATGTTAACAACCGGTTCTAGCGAATAGGTGTGAACTGGTAGAATCCCACCCCTGGGAAGGATACTGTAAAATCTCCAGTCAGAGGTAGGATTTGCTGGTACTCAAAATTTCTGCTACCGATTCTCCAGAACTGGTCAGAACCTGCTGAGTACCACCTCTGGTATAGAGTCAAGTTGCACTGTTGAGTTTTGGGGGGAGGGAGCGCGTGTGCGTGCTAATTCTTTTCTGCAGATTCTTCCTTCACCTCAGCTGCTTAAGGACCCTTCCACGTTCTTCTCCCTGGCTGTGGAGGATTTGCTGTCTGCCTCCCAGTTGTACCTTCCCAAACCCCAGCCTCACCCAGTCACCTCTCACTATAGCACAACCTCCTGCCAAATCTAGAACCGTCCCCCTTTCTGTGGATTCCTTTATAGTTTTTTTCTTTTAAAATCTGTATGCAGGTAAGCCAGTTTTATTTCCCCATTTCTCTGCAAAGGTAGTGATGGTCGAGCCACCAAATTATAGAAACGTAGACAATCACGTGTAATATGCCAAAATTCAATACTTAAACAGATAAATGTATAGAGGATTGAGTTTGTTAGTATGATTACTGAGCTAGGGATTTTCTTTCTTTCTTTCACTGTGAGTTATTAAGATGTATTTGTGTTGGAATAGCTGCACTAAGAGAGGCTGAATGAGCCATTCTCATTGTATATATGTTGTGCACTGACAATAAAGGTTTGAACTGATGTTGATGTTGAAAATATCCAGCATCGAAATAAATATCTGGTCAGCTTTTCTGTATTTTTAGAATTACCAAAATGTTTTGCCCAAATCAGAATAACGATGGGCACAAGTCCATGGAATTAAATGCACTCAAGTCCTATTGAAATCACTAGAGTTTGCATACTTTGAAGACACAATTGCCATAAACGGACAACACTAGAAGATATATTTAACTTTAGTTTAATTAACTCCCATACAAATCATTTTTAAGCATGTTTATTCCTGCAGAAGTTGGCCATAGAAGGCACTGAATGGCTGGCTCCAATGGAAACTAGATATTGTTTTAGCTTAACAGTATTATGGATACGTATCTCTTGATGATCCAAAGAAATAACTAGAATATAAAAGTACTAAATAGTTAAGTACTTTATTTTAAATCAATGTGTAAAATCTTACCAGAAAATACATTTTTCATATGTTACAATCAGTAAATTAAAATAGCTACAGGAAGTGCCTTTTGCCCTTCAAAAAAATCAAGGGAGCATAATGCAAATATGCTGGCCACCTTCTCAAATACTGAAGATAACAGGAAGTTCCAGCATATGGTTCATCTTAGGATGCATTCAACTAAACAACTTATTCATTTATGCATTTAACTGATTTATTGGCTGCCTATTTCTTAATGACTCCAGGGAGCTTTCAAAGGATAATAAAAAGCAATAAAATGCCATCTAGCAATTGAGTGATTATGTGCCATCAAGAGGTTGTTTGCTCTTAGCAACCACTAAATTCTAAAAAAAAACTGACAATAGAAAATAACTTAAATTACAGCATATTTATACTTGTTTAATATTTAAACAATAAACAATCATACAATATATGCTCTTGTTCAACACTGAATGTAATAAATGCTACTTTTTATAATTAATCATGACAGAAAAACTATCTGTGTTGGTTCCCTTTGCTGGCTTCATTTGCTTGGCACACCTAAATAAACTCAGTGGACACATCACACTAAACACAGTGTGGCTTCTCTGTGCTACAGGGCCCCTGTGATTTGTAAATCAAGATTTACAGCTTAGTATGATCTTGTTGAATATATCACAATTAAGCAAAACGTGGCTTAATAAATTTTATCTATCAATTCTCTCAATCTCTTTCAATTAATTGGTTCTAAGATCTTGCTTACATTATTAGGATTAATTAATAGAACGAGGGACGCGGTGGCTCAGTGGCTAAGAGATTGAGCTTGTTGATCAGAAAGGTTGACAGTTCGAATCCCTAGTGCCACATAATGGAGTGAGCTCCCATGACTTGACCCAGCTTCTGCCAACCTAGCAGTTCGGGAGCATGTAAAAATGCAAGTAGAAAAATAGGGACCACTTTGGTGGGAAGGTAACAGCGTTCCGTGCGCCTTCGGCATTTAGTCATGCCAGCCACATGACCACGGAAATGTCTTTGGACAGCACTGGGTCTTTGGCTTTGTAACAGAGATGAGTACCATCCCTAGAGCTGGAAACAACTAGCACATATGTGCAAGGGGAACCTTTACCTTCACTTTTTAAGACTCTGCTAGAACTGTACCTTAGCTGCTATATCCTCCCCTGCTAAATTCTTCTTTCTCATAAATATCTGAAGAGTTGAGATTTATGTGCAAAACTTGGACAGTGTTGCGTGTTCCTGATATTTCTGCTGAGTAAAAACCAGTCAAAGTACACGATGAAGAAAAATCCTCGGGTTCAAGGAATCACACTTCTGGAAGCCCATTTGCCTCCTGCTACTGGACTGGACTGGACTGTATATTCTGAACCATAACAAATTCTTCACACCAGAAATGCTGCTAAAACTAATGGAAATGGTCTATTATACCGACTTCTCACCTAGGCCTTTATTGCCAGTTTCAAATTAAACCAAAATAACTCTTCTTGATCTTTATCACTTGGCCATTCGAGATAAGTTTTGGTATTCATTAATTTTCGGAGTTTGCAAAACCTTTCTGGGATGGTTTTAATTGGAATAGATTCCAGGAGGATCAAAATGGCCGTGTCATTATTCTCATCAAAAAAACGGAAGTGAGAAAAATCCAATTCATACTTGCACCACTCACTCCGTACAAAATTCTCCGAAAGCACGAACAGAGTTTTAGAGCTCTTCTCAATGGAGTCAATAATATTGTCTACAATCCATTTGCCAGGCATAAAATCTCTTTTATGAAGACAGAGTTTAAATGGAGGGTTTGATTGCTCCAGCATCTGCACCATAATATTTTCCACCCATTCTGAGTCTTGTTCACTGTAGGAAACGAATGCATCATAGCAGACGGCCTGGTTATGGGTCCTTTGAGGCTTGCGTTTTGCTTTGAGCCAAGCCAAAGTCATGCGTATATACCAAATGACATGGAACTTGTAGCAAAGAAAAGCTGACACCAGGATGATCAGGATTATCAGAATACAAAGGATGGACACAAAAGAATTAAAATGACAGTCAATCAATTGCAGCTGGGCAACTCCGATCTGATCCCCTTTTACATAATCTGGAGAATCACAGATGTAATTTTCAGGCCAACCAACGCAGATATTATATATTCTTGGATAAGATTGTACAAACGAAACAAAACCACACGTGCATTGAAAACTGTTATTACGGGCATCCAGCGACTTCAGTTCTACAAACGCTTGCAGTTCCTGCTCAGAGAACACAAACACACTGTTTTCTCTAATAGTCACAAACCTTACATGACGGATGAAGGCAGCATGTGGTAGAGTTTTGAACCTATTATTTGTAAGATAAAGTTCCTGAAGATGGGGCAAGCTCACCTTAAAATCATGGAGGAAATTGTTGCTTGCATCCAGAATTTCTAAAAAGTCAGGGATGCAACCTGTAAGTTTCTCTACTTTGCAGCCAGAAATATTTAAATATTTCAAGCTTTTTGGCCAATGACACGACTCTGGCATTTGTTCTAAGTTATTCTGACTTACATCTAGATTAGTAAGATCGACTAAATGAGCCACACTTCGAGCCATCCGATCAAGATATGTCAAAGAATTTTGACTAACATTGAGAGTCTGCAGTTTAGGCCAACTGCCTGGACAGAATGAATGCTCAAAAAACGAATCCTGAAGCAAATTTGTATTGATATCAAGATACTGTACTGAAATGAATTTTTGGGCAAGTTCGCAAGGCACAAGAAAAACTTTTGTATTTTCAACAGTCAGTCTGGTAACATTCTCTACAAGATACAACATGCTTGAAAGATCTGAAAATAAATAAAATAATTCTATTTTTAAATTCCTAATTGTTATTATATGTAGATTACTTAAAATGTGCGATCTAGTATTGAACTGCCCAGTACCTTGTAATGTGCTATCTATAATTTCTAACTCTTGTAACTGGGTCATACCAGATAATGCATTAATTAAGGAAGTAACATGATTTTCTAAAAAAAAACTATGTCTAAATACAAGCTTTTGAGCAGTTATTGGAACCTTTTTGAAATAATTGGTAAGGGAGTCACGGTCATTGTGTGCATTTCTCAGTTCAAGAAACACCACAGAATTTTTAACATCAACTAAAATCCAGTTCAAGATTAAATTGACAGGAACATTCAAAATAATGTGATTTATGTGATCAAGAGACTGCAGGGCTCCTGGTGAATATTGTGCAAGATTATGTCCTTCAATCTCCAGTTCTTCAAGAACTGAAATTCCTTCAAAATCTTTTGCCTGTAAAGAAGAGAATTTATCATTTCCCAGGTATAGATATCTCAGCTTTTGTAAGCCAGAAAATAATGGAAGTATCCCAAGTTTTGAGTAGGAATTTCCCTTTAGGTTTAATTTCTGTAAAGAAGAAAGATTTCTGAACCAAGAGGGTGACAAGTAGGTCAAGCTGTTCCATGATAAATCCAAGTGCTCCAGTTTTCCAAGGAAGTCAAAAGCATGCTCATCGATGGTTTGAATTAAATTGGATTGAAGCAAAAGTGTTCTAAGATTGACTGCAAACTTTAGGTCAACATCTTGAATATGCACAATGCTATTGAAGGCCAGGTCCAGTCCCAAGACAGCATCTGATAGGCCCAGTGGAAATGTGTGCAGACTCTTCCCATGAAAATTGCAATCAGCAATGCCACAAAATGGGATGACCTTTTCAGCACTAAGACTTTTAGCTCCAGCAATTGAGATAAACCAAAGACTCCAAATTGGCAAAATCATGATTATCTAAAAGATTTAAAAAAAATATATCAATGTTATAATAAAATACATGTTTGGTAATTTTAAGTAGATTGGTTATAAAAACAAGATGCAGTCAATATTTACAAATATCACACAGAGAGCTAGAGGTTGCTTTAATGACTCTTGGACATTATTTCTTATGCATTTGGCTAGATCAGTGCTTCTCAATCTGTGATCCAGGGACCTCTGGGTGCTGCGATATCACAGGGAGTCCAAGGATTGGGTTGGACAGATTGATGCAGTCTTTAAATCTTAAGTCTTGGTGGTCCGTGGCAAAAATAAATACAAAAGGTATTTAAAAGGGGTCCATGGTGAAGAAAAAGTTGAGAACCACTGAACTACATTTTATAGTAACCACAAAATATACCGGTAATTTATACCCCAAATGGGGTATAAAATATATTCAACATGGGCAGATTTATGTCATTTGGTTCAACTCAGAGCTCAATCCATATTTGGGAACCCAAAGCTTCAGTAGCTATACAAATGGTTACCTTTTTTGTTTTGTTCCTTATCCCAATTCCTTATTCCTTGGAAAACACAACTTCCATGTTTGGCTTTAAACACTGGAGCATAAGAAAATATAAAAGAGAAGTACAGCAAAAGGACAAAAGGAATGCAAGAAAGGAATTCCCTGGCAAATCTGAATATATTGTAGATATATTTATCCAGACATCTGTCACAAAAGGCAACCTGTAGGAAATATTTTAATAAATAAACTAATATAATTGATCTTAAAATGCACACTTGGTATATTCACCTCTGTAACTTTTCAAACAACATCTAACGCTATGGCTAACAAGAGTTAAATAGAACCATTCTACAAAAATGAATAGGTTTGCACAAAGTGCACAGAGTTTGTTTTCCAAATTAATGCCATTCACATTTAACTCTGTCCTGAGAAAGGAAATATCTGTGAAGACTAAACATTCAGGTCAGTTTGACCTTTGTTTCAAAGAATAAGCAGTTTAGTTATAACCAGGGGAATAATAATGTGCACAGATTTCAAGCAAATTTGAGGACAAGGCAGTGAGCAGTATGACTGCAATGGAAGAGTAAAATTATAGATTAGAGTAAATTACAGTATTGGGAGGGACCTTAAATGGTGATGTAGCTGCAATCCTTATAATGAGTTTATCCTAAAAACGTTTCATTTTTCCTGCGTTTTAATTCACCACTTTCGTGTTTACATTGCTCACCTAGATTACTTGACTACAGAAGGACAAGTCTACCTCTATCTCTGTCCCTCTGTTCCCTTGAATATTCTGGGAATGCCATCACCATTTCTCTGTGATTAATACCCATCGAAGAGACAAATTATAGTGCATTTTTATCTACTCATTTCTTGTAGGGGTAAGCATGCACAGGCAACATGATTATCTCTTATGTCTGACAAATGGAGCAGACTACATATGATGACACGTCCTACTTCTGCTTTAAAGTTTAGAAGAAAAAGAACCCAAGTGAAGAATTCTGAAATGGGCTCTCGCCTACAGATTTCCCTTTTCCTTTCAAGAGACCTTCCCCATTCTGCTAATCGTATCTCTAAGGCCTAACAGATTAAAGGAAAAACCGATTGTGAAATAGACAGACCAAATGGGGCTGTAGCTCTATGGGAATGGATGAGGATACTCCCACCTGCAATTCTGGATGAACATTGCCAATCAGTATTGACAATACTAGGTTGAACGGACCAGGGATTTCAGAGAAGACAACTTCTCTTGCATCTAAGATTCAACTTCTTGCCAGTGTACTCCAAGGACCAAGCAGATCTATCATGATCACGTAGATGTCCGTAACAGTTATGTAGAATGTATACGGGTAAAAGAATATGACCATGATTGGCAGTCCAAGTTGTATTAGTAATAAGGAGTGATTTTATTGGCATAATGCTGTTTCCACCATTGTTTGACAGTCACAATTCCTATTCATTAGGAGCACATCCGGAACTTCTTTCTCTGCCTATTCCTCAGCAGTGCAAACAAATCACAGGAACAGGAAAGCAGTGGAAACTGAAAGTAACATGTTCTTTCAGCAACGGAGAATAAAGTCTAAAGTCTATAAAAAGATTTAAGTCTAACTCTTTTTCTTTTCTGTGCTCATGGGTAAGTGGAGCCAGGAAAAACCCAACAACTCTGTGCCACTGAACATTTAAACATCAGGAGAGCTGCAGCCAAAGAAAGGATATGGCATATTTTTATTGGCAATCGTACAAAAAGTGACTTTATTTTCTGGAGGAAAAAATAGTCCTGCGTATGATTTCATGATTTCAGAAATGTGAGGATTCATAGTATGATGAATGATAGGGTGCGGCTTCGTCTAGGCAACATTGTCCCTTCACACTTGAAATGAAAATTACAAGCCAAGGCACTACATGTAATATTACATAGCATGAATGTAAAACATGTATGAACATACATGTCCACATAAAACTTTGGGTTAAGTGCTGTATGGATACCTGACCTTGTCAGTTAAGGGCGAATCAAATGGATCTTTGTAAGTCCAGACTCTTCTTGAAAGCTTCCAATGATGAAGGCAACTTCCAAAGGCAACTTCTGTTCCATTGGTTGATTGAGCTCTCATTGTCAGAACATTTCTCCTTATTTCCAGGTTGAATCTCTCCTTGTTCAGTTTCCATTCATTGTTCCTTGTCTGGCCTATAGGCGCTTTGGAAAATAGCTTGACCCCTTCCTCCTCTCTGTGGCAGCCCTTGTAATATTGGAAGACTGCTATCCTGTCTCCCCTGGTCCTTCTCTTCACTAGACTAGCCAGGCCCTTCGTGCACTTCAAATGAAAATTATAAGCAAAGACACTACATGAATGTAAAGATTGTATGAACATATATGCCCGCATATGACTTTGGGCTAAGTGTTGTGTGGATACCTGACTTTGTCACTTATCAGTGAATCAAACAGGTCTTTGTAAGTCCCATTCCTATATAAAAGGGAATAGTAGTGTTTTTAATCCCTACATAAAAGGGAGCAGTAGTAGGTTGTTGTTGTTTTTACACAATTCCTATATTCCTCAAAGCATGATATCATCCTTGCACCTTTAAGGTTAAAAGCAGGGGGAATTTTCCTTGCCTGTTTTTCTTTTGAACAGGTCATCTTAGACGCTCTCGTGTCCAAATCACTAGTACTAGTGCTAGTTTTCTTTTAACAACTGGTTAATGGTGTGCACCAGATGGACATTTCCTGATTCTACTTTCAATCCAGCAATCCTACAGGAAAAGACATTGATTATTTTACCTACTCTTATCACAGATACACCAGTCAGATGTACTTTTCAGTTCCTTGCATCATTGATAAAGTACGGAGCAGGGGTTAAAAAAAAAGGACACTTATGCCCATTATTTTTCTGCATATTGAGTATTCAAGCATGGAACTGCCTAAAGGCACATTATCTTAAATAATCTTTGTTCCTTGTGATCAATATCTCATTATTGGAAAAATTGATATTTAGTTTAAGCGGATGATAACTGCACATGTAACATTTTAAGATTAATCATAGATATTTTGCATGTAGCCTTTAGCAAACTTTCAGGACTTTCTTTCTTTTTTTCTTCTTCTTCTTCCTCCTCCTCTTCTTCCTCCTCCTCCTCCCCCTCCTCTTCTTCTTCCTCCTCCTCTTCCTCTTCTTCCTTCTCCTCCTCGTCTTCTTCTTCCTCCTCCTCCTCCTCTTCTTCCTCTTCCTCCTCCTCCCTCTCTCCTTCTTCCTCCTCCTCTTCTTCCTCCTCCTCCTCTTCTTCTTCCTCCTCCTCCTCTTCTTCCTTCTCCTCCTCTTCTTCCTCTTCTTTTTCTTCCTCCTCCTCCTCCTCCTCCTCCTCCTCCTCCTCCTCCTCTTCTTCTTCTTCCTCCTCCCCCTCTTCCTCCTCCTTTCTTCCTCCTCCTCCTCCTCTTCTTCCTCTTCTTCTTCTTCCTCCTCCTCCTCTTCTTCCTCCTCCTCTTCCTCCTCCTCCTCCTCGCACCTGTTAAATCCCAATTAACCCCAGAGAAAGGCAAAGCGTAACGTGAACAAAAAAAAGCACTTACGTCTCCTTACTCGAAATTCCCACGGAACGGCATCCTATACGCCGCCGAAGTGCTCGCTTAGGCGCGCTTCCTAAACGGAGGTTTAATCTTTGTTTAGGAAAAACGAAAAGTTTTGTTGTTGTTTTTTTAAAGGCACAGAGAAACGAAGAGACGCCTCTGTGCTCTTTAATACTCGCCCGCTGAGCTTCGGAAAGTTCCCCCCGGGCTGCCTTCACACAAGCCTCGGCGACGGTCCCGCAACTTCTGAGTGGCTTTTTCCGAAGACGCTCCGAGCGGAAGACCGTCTTCGCGGAGGGGGAGGGAAGAAGAAGAAGAGGGTGGGCGTGGCTTCCCCTCAGCCACGAATGCAAAATTAGATTAAGAAATGTCCTCCCCGATAGCCACGCCTCTTTCTGCCCCCCCCCGACCCCCGCCCTCCCTTCAGCTTGGGAGCTGTCCCTCTTTTAAGATAGATAGATATGCCTCAGGTTGCCCGTTTTAAATATATGTGTGTGCGCGTCTGTGTGTGTGTGTATGTATGTGTATATATATATATGTATCCATGTATCCATGTATGCACGCATGGGTATAGGTATAGGTATAGGTACAGGTATGTATGTAGCAACGTTTCGGCAGAATCTCATCTGCCACCATCAGGCTTGTGTATTGTGTTTAGATAGATAGATAGATAGATAGATAGATAGATAGATAGATAGATAG